TAATATATTTTATTTTATACTTTTCATAATAAATGTATTTCATTTTATTATCTTTTTTTATAATAAATTAAAATTATGATTATTTACAAATAAAAAAATAAAAATATATATATATAAATAAAAGGTACTGATAGATACTTAATAGAGGAAAAAAAACTACTCGATATACAGAGATATACTGTACCTGATATATAGAAATATACTATGAAAGATATGTACCCAATAAAAAAAATAAATAAAATTGGATACCCAATATATAAATGATAAATTTGAATAAAATATCAAAATATTAATATCCAATATGAAACTGATATGGACCTGATATGTATCTGAACTTCTGCATTTTGATCTCACCAATTGGATACCTGATATATTACATAATTGTTAATATTAAACATCTATTATATATCTATCAGGTTTACAATAGATATATGATAGGTATCTGATATTCCCTATTTCGACCAGTGATAGTTATCCTAGATTATTGTGTCATCATATGAAAATATATAGAAAAATAGAAAAAAAATATTATAAAATATTTATTATCATCTTTTAATAATAATATTAATAATAAATTATGTAAAAATTCAGAAAGTAATAAAATATTATGAAATGAAATTTTCCACAATATATATTGAATTACAATAAAAATGATTAAATTCAAAGTAATCTGAAAACGATAAACCTGAAACAAAATATGTTAAAATACTAGCTGTTGAATTTTGAAAGTTTACATTATTGTTAAAAAATTTAGTATTGAACTTTGAGGATTTTTAATAACAAAATAATATGTATTGAAATTTAATCATTAAATTTCAATTTCAAAAGGTTGTGACACAATTGATAACCTTTGAAATCTAACATTATGATATAATTTCAAAGGTTTTCGAATTAATATAATTACTGATGTATGATCTGGTATATACTATTTTAACTTGTGAAAACATTACATTGTTTTTACAGGTCAAATACAAAAAATATACCATACTGAAAAGAAATTTTAATTTTAGCTAATTTATAATTTAAGATGCAATAGGACAGTTGATTGTTATTGATTTTTAGCTAATCTATAGTATAGAAATTACCATTTGATATAGTGATTCTTTTATATTTAACTAGTGTTTGAATGCAGATTACTTTTTTCCAATAAAGATATATCTTTATAAACTAACAGTTTATTCTTGAAGTAATAAAATCTAATGTACAAACTTTTAACGAAAACATTATAAAAGATTTTTTTCACTTTTACAAAAGTTCAAATCATTTATAAAATAAATCTGTTTATAGGAAAAGTATTTATAATATGAAATCCTATATAACTGGATTACAAAGGTACATGGTTTTGAAATTATATGACAGTACATCTAAAACAAGTTCATGAGAATAGAAACTACTATTAATTAACAATAAAAAGGATGATAACCCCTATTCTGTAATTATACTTGAATTATTGTAACAGCATTTACACTATACTTGCACATAATATAGGTTATTATATTTAAGTTGAAATATTTTGGAACCCAAAAGTCAAAATAGTTTTTTATAGAAAAAAATTAATTTTACTTAAAACTTGAAATTTTGACCACCCAGATAAATTCTTTGATTGAAAATACAATAAACTAAGTATTTTTTATTTTAGTTCTATATATAGAATAGATATTTCAAAAAGATGAAATATCTCAAAAATCAAAAATCAATTTTGTAAACATGTATAATCTACACTAAAACTAGAGCAAGTTTTTAAATATGCAAAATAACTTGTTCATTGATAAATTATTTAAGATCAAAATTTTTCACTATTAATTGCAATGTTTTTTTATTTTTATTATTGTTAGTTAAATTTTATCTTTTATGAAAAATGGTTTGGAATTTTTTCCAAAAATTAATTTTGAAATTATACATTTGATTTTGAAAACATATACTGTATAATCAAGATGAAAAGTTAATTCATTTGAAATTTCAGTTACATGATTTTATTACTTAGTATAAAAATAAAAGGTAAAATTATTTTACTTAAAATTCAAAATTTTCCAATTCAGATATAAATTCTTTGATTAAAAATATGTTAGATTAAGTAATGCTCCTAATAAGTTGACTCCTGAATCAAATGAATTAGAATTTCATATAAATTTAATATCCAGATTATATTTTTTAATAGTATGCAAGTCATATACAAATTAATGAGTCAACTCTAAGATTAAATATTTTTTTTATATTCACATAAAATAAATATTTCAAAATCCCAAAATCCCAAAATATTCAAAAATTCAAAATCAATTTTGGAAACATGTATAATTTTGCTATAAGCCTAACAATAAATGAATAGAAATCAATATTATAAAAATACACTGGTAAAATCTCATAATCTAAACATGTTATATTCTAATTATACAAGATGATATTTTTCACCAAGAATTGAAGAAATAAAAATCAAGTTATGTGTAATGAAATTCTATCTGTATGTTTTCTTGATTTATTGTAGATATTAAATTTATAATGCTGAAAAAAAAATTAAAATTAAGAATTAGAGACCACTACTTTCTATGATAAAGTATTGGAATTACATTGTACCTTTCATTTTTTTTCTCAATTAAAACTTCAAATTTCCATAACTTATTGTGTCACTTAATATTATTAAAATACAATATTAACAATTTTATGAAAGAAGGTGAGTTTGAATTAGGAAGGAGAAGAAAAAAAAAGAACTTGCTAACTAATTTTAGCAAGAAAAAAAATATTAATGTAATCTCTCTCTCTCTCCAATAATCCAAATCTACCACCATCTAACACAAAATAAAAAAATAAAAATAAAGAAAAGGAATATTATGGTATATAAGAATCGTAATTAAGCAACAGAAAAAAAAAATTAAAATTTATAGAAAAACTCTGTACAGAAAAATTCAAAATCAAGAATGGTAATAAAAATTAGAAAAAATAGCATATAGAACATGCTTGATCCTTCAAACTTTAGACCAGTTTTTTGTAAAACTTGGTAAAATGTTCGATCACTTTAGATTATTCTGTCTATGAAGTAAAAAAAAATTATATATATATATATATAAATCAAATGTCTAAATAGGAAAAATTAATCCCAATATGATAAATTTTGGGGGAATAAAAGTGGAAAGAGATGCCAACGTGTGGTGTCAAAAGTGAGAAGGAGAAGAACAAAAGAAATTAAATGATGCCAAAAGCTAATATAGCATTTGGATAGAAACTGTTCAGTCATTGCAAACCTAATTATGTTTGAATAATTTTTTTAAACCAAAGCCAATTCTAAAGTCCATGTACGCCTGCACCATAGTCGGACCGGTATATCCTTATCACCGCCAATTTTGACTTCAAAACCATCCCACCAGCACTTCCTCTATATAGGATTTGAAAAAAAAAAAATATAAAAGAAAAAAAAATTAATAAATCTCATTATATGTTCCGAAAAAAATAAGATTTTTATTATATTAAATTCATACCGCTGGTTTCCTCCAGAATAATAATAATTTCTGTGCTGTCGCCATTTGATTACTTTGTCCTGTTGTTTTAAGCATCACAAGTGCAATGCTTACAATACATGTTTTTTGTGGTTCAATATTACGATATCCCCATTCGTCTTCTCTTGAAAACCCAGAAACACACAACATGTCTATTAAATGTTGTTCCGCTACATTATTCTCCTTATTAACATTACGCTGTAAAGCCGTGAATATCTTTCTCTGATGAAGAAGGTATGTCCCACATTCTGTTTTTAATTCGAAAATATTCATTACTGGTTCAACTACAGTTAATTCAACCGCATCGCCAATATTTTCAACAGGTGAAGATGACACGGATGGAACCTTTTTCTTGGATTTTGGGGGTATGGTGAAATAATCCAATTCTTCCCTTAAAACAATTATAGCTTGCTTATTTAAAAGTGGATTTTGTGTTGGACTGTGTGGAAAATTTGAGACACTTCCTTGGTTAGAATAAAATGCATCCTGTGCAGTCTTAAAAAAATTTAAAATATATTCTAAACACAAGGGATCAAAATCTACATAAATAACTTGGTCTTCTATGCTTAATTCATCTAACGAATTCTCTTCTCCTGGGTCTTCATCTTCCTCGTAATCAAGGACACCGCCTCTACCCAATATAAGACCGTTAGGAAACATAACAATAAGAATGCTTTCCGGTAAGCTCATTAACATCTCACGATCGATTTCGAAGCGAGTACCCCGAAGTTCGAGCATAAGTTTAGAGGGGAAAGCCGATTCAGGAGGTTGAATGGGTTGAACAGGAAGTGAAGGATTTATATTATGCACTGGTGAATTATCTATTTGAGACATGTTTATGAAATGAATATATAATATCAATAATATAAAATATGGTTATATAATTATTAAGTTATATATTAAATTTCTAAAATTTTTATTATTAAAAAAATTTGGAAAAATTGCAAAATATTGAAAATGTTGATAGAGAATATTTTTGAACATAAAAAAAAAAAAAATGAGTTTGGATATTAAAATATTGTACATCAAAGGGAAATTACAGAGTAAATTTTTAAATTGCAAAAAAGTATGATTTGCCATGGTGTAACACGACAGAAAAACTTTGAGGTACCCACAAGGGTTACAGAACATTCCATTTATTTATTTTATTACGAAAAAAAGGGAATAAAGTAATCTTTAAAAATAGTGTGCAACAAAACCCAACCCAAAATTCGGAAAAATTGTTAATCTCTGTTCCCATTGTATCGTTAAAAACATGTCACCGTACATCTATTTATTATAAAGGGGTTTCTTTTAAAATATGGGGAGATTGCAAAGTGAAATTTTTTAACGCCAAGTAACGCATAGTTTCCATTTTGTATATTGTTCTGAATATGAAAAGAAGAAGGGATGGAGATCTTTTATTATTAAATAAATAAAAATACATTACTAAAATACATCTAATGTTGTTCTACCACTCTTTGATGACAGATATCAATTAATTTTTCTTGAATAGCTGAACTTTTTTTTATTATGGAAATAAAGAATGCGTATTCTATTACTCTAAATTTATTGTCTTATAGATATAAATTAAGTAAATTCTCTATGATATAAGTTTAACATTATAAAATATCTTGATCAATTTTAATCGTCGTCGTAGTCCTCTTCATTCGCTTCAGCAAATCCAAATATGCTTTTACGTTCTGTTTTCTTTGGAGTTTCTGGTAGGGATATGACGCCTAACAGTAAAGTAAAGTGTGTAAAATAAATGTAGAGTAAGTTATATTTGATAAAGACGAAAAAAAAAAAATGAATATTTACCACTTTTGGATAAACTTAATTCAAGAGTAGTAGTTGTAAATGAATCAGTATTTCCGAGCCCTTCGAAACCAATGATCCTATTAAAAATTACATTAGATAATTAAATAGAATTATATAATAAACATTATTTCAAGTTGTCAAATCCTTTCTTACCTATCAACTACAATTCCATCCACAAAAGAAATCACACATGGTAAAACTTGTATTCCAAGTTTTACCACCAAGAAATTTGCATTCTCAACATCAATTTTTACAAACTTCGTTTTAAAATGTCGTTGCGCAATTGTCTATTATAAAATAAAAATCAGATTTATAAATTTATCAAATAAAAATATATATATATATATATATATAATTCTTATTAACAAACCGTAAGATGTTTGTCCATAATTTGGCATCTTCGAAACTCTTTATGAAAAAAATGCACAACGCACAATTTGGAAGTAGTTGTTATTTTAAGTATTTCTTTCTCACTCAAAATTTCTGTATATGAGCCATGATCATTCTGACGCATCTCCTGTAATTTCATCATTCTGTTTGGTAAAAATGGTTTTTATTTTAAAGGGAGTAAATATTTGTAAATTAAATCAAAAAAAAATATAAATCTAATATATATACTCTTGTTTCAATTGTTCCATCCTTTGTTCACGAAAACTGGCAATCGCAAAATCATCATCGTTCTCTAATTCTTCAAATATTTCGTCTTCAGTCAAAGAACCACCATTGTTGTTTCTAGTTTCAATAACTTTATCCAGGACTTCTTGCACACGTTCATCTACGGCTTCGTTTTGTGTTCTAGGATTTAGAAATAATGATATTTAATTTTCATTAAAAAAATGGATATAATGAAATGCTTCAAATATAACAAATACAATTCTTGCTCGTTGTAGGATGACATTTTTTGATTAATTTAATTTTTTACGAACTAAATATACATTATGTTATTAAATCAGATGATCCGATGATCATAATCACCAATGAGATAATCGCGCTTTTCCAGTTATGACCCCTAACTAGACATAGGTCATTTGGTCATTCATAAAGTATGCATACATATGACCTCGGTCATATTTTTGACCAATCAGATTGCAGAATTTTATAGATACAATTTCATTAAAAAAAAAGGCGCGAAACAAATAAAATACAATTAAATACTTAATAAAAAAATAATTTTATATACTAAGATTTAACAATTTTCATTAAAAATAAATTTTTTAATTCAATTCCTATTATTAACATGCATTAGTAAATATTTCATCTGATCCTAAAAATGCAGGAGATTCTAAAGACGATTCAAACAAAGTATTTAAAATCCATTTTGCCGTATTATCATCAGCTGGATATATTTCTCTACCTCCTAAATTAAAATCACTATTCCATTCTGTTGATAAAAAAATTTGATCATTTTCATCATCAAATTTATTCTCCCGGTTCCTAATTCTATCCATTCTTCAATTAATGAGTCAATCTTTGTTCTTCAGAATTTAATTCTCCATCATCATTGTTAATTTCATTTCTTATATCAGTTTCTTCTTCATCATTGTTAGTTTCGTTTCTAATATTAATTTCATCTTCATCATCACTAACTTGTATATCCGTTTCTCTGTAATCTGATTCATTATCTACATAATTTAATTCAAGATCTTCGATTTCTTCATTTGGTTCTTCACCATCAGAGATAATTGGTGCAGCAATATGCAAACGTTGCATTTCATGATCACATTCTCTTGCTTCATTTACTTTATGAGTATATAAAATTTCACTTCGAATTTGGCTCATCGCCAATACTTTTTCATACTATATATTATATAAACAAAATTGATTAATTTATTTTATATAATTTAAAAATAAACAAATGTAATATAATTAAAAATAAAAATACCTGTAGCCGATTTCATCTATTAGTGTGAAAATAATCCATACTTGACCATAAACGTTTAACTGATGCAGAATTAATACAGATTCCATGTATTCTAATTGCAATATGTACTAATTCAGGACCTATACCATTTGTAGATTTCCAAAAATCTACTAGATTTCTATTAAATTGTTTAAAAGAATCCAAACCATACTTCATAATAATATTTAAGCCATTGTCCAATATGAGTCCATGTAAGATTTAAAGTTGCTGAACGAAATTTTCTAAGTTTATATAATGGATGGAGTGCAAATGAAAGAATTAATAAAGGTTGCTCCCATTGATTCCAACGAGCCTCTATTCTTTTTACAATTTTTGTACTAAATTCTAGATTTTGATGATTATCTAAAATTTTCATTGTATATGCAAAACAATGTAATACTTCATGAAGGCAGGCTGTATTTTTTTGTAGTTTATTCAGAAATCCACATAGAAGATATAATAAATTTTGTAGTTCAGATAATAAAATCCAAAATTCTCAATCATTGATTATATCTGCAATATTATCAGGAAGTTTTCTATTATTATTTTGATCAACTGTTTTTCTATTTGCTGGTATACTAGAAATACTATTATTTCTTGTTATATTTGAACGATTATCATTAAATTTTGCTGAAAGAAACTATTTGATAATAAAAAAAATATATTAATTTAATTGTTAAAATATAAATTTATATACAGATATAAATACTTAACCTTAAGTGTCAATTTAGATTTCAAAATAGAATAGAAACAAAAATAATATGAATTCCATTTAGTATCTCCAGGTGTAATCAATGTAATAGTTTTATTATATATTCACATTTGTTCATCTCTAAGATTTCCAGTAAAAAAAATTAAACTGTGAAAAAAACTAACAATTTGTATTGCTTCTTTAGAAATTTTTTGATACAAAATATTTTCTTTGAATATTTCATCAAAAATCAAATTCATTTGATATGCATATAAGGTAAAAAAATTTTAGAAAAATATTTCCTTTGTAATTGATGTCTAAATAAAATTTATATAATTTACTAAATAATAAAATAAAAAATATACTAAGCAGAAAAGTATTCTCCTGCAAAATCAAAAATAAATACTTTAATATTAATATGTTCTTTATTAGCCTTATCCATCAATTTTTCAATATGTCTAATGACATTTTCAGTATTGAATCTTTCAGTACTTATATTATATGCATCCCAAATCAATGGTTAACTTGATGTAGTAATAAATACAACTCCTTATATATTTCTTGACAAACTATCAAATATTACTGTTACACCATCCTGATCTTGTTTTACAAGTTTAATAATGTTTTCTTGAAATATTTGAAAACTCTTTTTTAAAATTTTTCCTATTATAGCCTTACATTTTGATAACTGAATTCCAGGTGAAATAAATTTAAAAATAATAATTGTTTTCTTATTTTCTACAAATGTAAATGGTAAACTATTAGATATAATTATACAAAATAACAATTGTTCAAAAAGTAAATAATTATTTTTTGATATAGGGTGGTATACAAAATTGTTAAGACTAGTTTGTGTAGAAAATTTTTGATCATTTAATTTTACTAATTTCAATATTATCTATTAAAAAAAAAATAATTATAGATATTATTAAAAATAATAAAATAATTAAATTAAAATTATCTTATATATATTATTATCATTTTTATTTAATTCTTTATATTTTTTTTTATTCTCTGATATTAATAATTTTGAAATTTCTTGTACTTCTTTAGGTGTATTATATTCACAAAAATTAGTACACTTTGTTAAATAGTTATAATATAAATGTGCACGATTTGAAGTATAACATTCAAGTTTAACTTGTACTGCTCCTAAACTACCATATTTTCTTATGCAAAAATTACAAACTACAAGTGTATTTGTAGAATTATTGGAATTTTTTATTAAAGTAAATATATATGATATTACTATTTTTTTTTGTCCTCTTCATTATCGTCATCACATTTTTACTCTTATTTCTATCTATCACATCCCATTACCTTTAATTTTTGTTGATATAATTTCCCTTTTAATTTTTGTTACCCTCCTTCTTCTCTTTTTTTTCTTTTCCTAATATTATCTAGTAATACTTATTACCACCCACCTTCGCTTATTCATTTACCTTATACTATCCACTTCATTTTTGTCCTTTTCACTATCCTTTCCATTTTGAATTCATTCTAAAAATCTTAATTCTTTATTTTCTTTCTTCACCTATATTTATAATTTCTTTCAGCTACACCTGTCATATACCACGTGACATCTAATGTACTGCAAACTGTGGTCTATTGAGATATGACGATAAACTATACAGTACAAACCATTATTTTGTACTATACGATTTTATATAAATTTTACACAAAATTTATACAATAATATATATATTATAAAAATCTAATTATACTGTATAAACTTTTTATGTTAAAAAACCATACAGTACAAGTATTTTTATATTAAAAAGTCAAACAGTACTAAATATAAACTCAACCCTTGTAATATATATTATTATCTATTTATGTCAAATTTAGGGATTAAGATTTGTATCACATGCAAATTAATTAGAATATTACATTTTATTATCATCACTAAAGCTTCCCATGAGCCTTAAGGGCTCGTGAGCCCATCGAGCCCAGTCGAGCCTGACCAAGCCAAGCCTGATATTATAGGCTCGAGCCTGACTAAGGTTCGGCTTGACTGGACTTGACCGGGCTCGCTGGGCTCTCGAGCCTAATATATGGCTCGCGAGCTCAATATAAAGGCTCACGAGCCTAATATAATTAAATCATCCAATAATATTATTAGACGATTTAATTGTTTAAAAAATAATATTATTGGACGTTTTAAATAATAATATTTATTAAATCACTATTTTTAATCACCTAAAAATAATATTTTTTAGACGATTAAATAATTAA